CCCCCCCCCCCCCCCCCCCCCCCCCCCCCCCCCCCCCCCCCCCCCCCCCCCCCCCCCCCCCCCCCCCCCCCCCCCCCCCCCCCCCCCCCCCCCCCCCCCCCCCCCCCCCCCCCCCCCCCCCCCCCCCCCCCCCCCCCCCCCCCCCCCCCCCCCCCCCCCCCCCCCCCCCCCCCCCCCCCCCCCCCCCCCCCCCCCCCCCCCCCCCCCCCCCCCCCCCCCCCCCCCCCCCCCCCCCCCCCCCCCCCCCCCCCCCCCCCCCCCCCCCCCCCCCCCCCCCCCCCCCCCCCCCCCCCCCCCCCCCCCCCCCCCCCCCCCCCCCCCCCCCCCCCCCCCCCCCCCCCCCCCCCCCCCCCCCCCCCCCCCCCCCCCCCCCCCCCCCCCCCCCCCCCCCCCCCCCCCCCCCCCCCCCCCCCCCCCCCCCCCCCCCCCCCCCCCCCCCCCCCCCCCCCCCCCCCCCCCCCCCCCCCCCCCCCCCCCCCCCCCCCCCCCCCCCCCCCCCCCCCCCCCCCCCCCCCCCCCCCCCCCCCCCCCCCCCCCCCCCCCCCCCCCCCCCCCCCCCCCCCCCCCCCCCCCCCCCCCCCCCCCCCCCCCCCCCCCCCCCCCCCCCCCCCCCCCCCCCCCCCCCCCCCCCCCCCCCCCCCCCCCCCCCCCCCCCCCCCCCCCCCCCCCCCCCCCCCCCCCCCCCCCCCCCCCCCCCCCCCCCCCCCCCCCCCCCCCCCCCCCCCCCCCCCCCCCCCCCCCCCCCCCCCCCCCCCCCCCCCCCCCCCCCCCCCCCCCCCCCCCCCCCCCCCCCCCCCCCCCCCCCCCCCCCCCCCCCCCCCCCCCCCCCCCCCCCCCCCCCCCCCCCCCCCCCCCCCCCCCCCCCCCCCCCCCCCCCCCCCCCCCCCCCCCCCCCCCCCCCCCCCCCCCCCCCCCCCCCCCCCCCCCCCCCCCCCCCCCCCCCCCCCCCCCCCCCCCCCCCCCCCCCCCCCCCCCCCCCCCCCCCCCCCCCCCCCCCCCCCCCCCCCCCCCCCCCCCCCCCCCCCCCCCCCCCCCCCCCCCCCCCCCCCCCCCCCCCCCCCCCCCCCCCCCCCCCCCCCCCCCCCCCCCCCCCCCCCCCCCCCCCCCCCCCCCCCCCCCCCCCCCCCCCCCCCCCCCCCCCCCCCCCCCCCCCCCCCCCCCCCCCCCCCCCCCCCCCCCCCCCCCCCCCCCCCCCCCCCCCCCCCCCCCCCCCCCCCCCCCCCCCCCCCCCCCCCCCCCCCCCCCCCCCCCCCCCCCCCCCCCCCCCCCCCCCCCCCCCCCCCCCCCCCCCCCCCCCCCCCCCCCCCCCCCCCCCCCCCCCCCCCCCCCCCCCCCCCCCCCCCCCCCCCCCCCCCCCCCCCCCCCCCCCCCCCCCCCCCCCCCCCCCCCCCCCCCCCCCCCCCCCCCCCCCCCCCCCCCCCCCCCCCCCCCCCCCCCCCCCCCCCCCCCCCCCCCCCCCCCCCCCCCCCCCCCCCCCCCCCCCCCCCCCCCCCCCCCCCCCCCCCCCCCCCCCCCCCCCCCCCCCCCCCCCCCCCCCCCCCCCCCCCCCCCCCCCCCCCCCCCCCCCCCCCCCCCCCCCCCCCCCCCCCCCCCCCCCCCCCCCCCCCCCCCCCCCCCCCCCCCCCCCCCCCCCCCCCCCCCCCCCCCCCCCCCCCCCCCCCCCCCCCCCCCCCCCCCCCCCCCCCCCCCCCCCCCCCCCCCCCCCCCCCCCCCCCCCCCCCCCCCCCCCCCCCCCCCCCCCCCCCCCCCCCCCCCCCCCCCCCCCCCCCCCCCCCCCCCCCCCCCCCCCCCCCCCCCCCCCCCCCCCCCCCCCCCCCCCCCCCCCCCCCCCCCCCCCCCCCCCCCCCCCCCCCCCCCCCCCCCCCCCCCCCCCCCCCCCCCCCCCCCCCCCCCCCCCCCCCCCCCCCCCCCCCCCCCCCCCCCCCCCCCCCCCCCCCCCCCCCCCCCCCCCCCCCCCCCCCCCCCCCCCCCCCCCCCCCCCCCCCCCCCCCCCCCCCCCCCCCCCCCCCCCCCCCCCCCCCCCCCCCCCCCCCCCCCCCCCCCCCCCCCCCCCCCCCCCCCCCCCCCCCCCCCCCCCCCCCCCCCCCCCCCCCCCCCCCCCCCCCCCCCCCCCCCCCCCCCCCCCCCCCCCCCCCCCCCCCCCCCCCCCCCCCCCCCCCCCCCCCCCCCCCCCCCCCCCCCCCCCCCCCCCCCCCCCCCCCCCCCCCCCCCCCCCCCCCCCCCCCCCCCCCCCCCCCCCCCCCCCCCCCCCCCCCCCCCCCCCCCCCCCCCCCCCCCCCCCCCCCCCCCCCCCCCCCCCCCCCCCCCCCCCCCCCCCCCCCCCCCCCCCCCCCCCCCCCCCCCCCCCCCCCCCCCCCCCCCCCCCCCCCCCCCCCCCCCCCCCCCCCCCCCCCCCCCCCCCCCCCCCCCCCCCCCCCCCCCCCCCCCCCCCCCCCCCCCCCCCCCCCCCCCCCCCCCCCCCCCCCCCCCCCCCCCCCCCCCCCCCCCCCCCCCCCCCCCC